GGTGGATCCTGACGGCAACGAGATGCAAAAGGAGGATATCGAAGAGATCCCGGGTCAAGAAGCTACGATCGAGCGCGAATTCACAGAGGAGGAATTCCTCATCGCTAGCCCTGTCGTTCTTGGCTTCGCTTTCAGCGAAAAGCTGTGGCTCGAGTTCAGTGTGTCGGGTATCAACGAGATCGACTGGAATGAGGGTGCCTTCCACTCGCTCATGCTGCCAGACAACCAGAAGGCCATTGTCAAGGCTTTGGTCGAATCGCATACTTTCGAAGCGAGCCGCAATATCGACGATGTGATTCAAGGTATTTCTATCGCCACATACTGTTTTCTTACACACAACGCGCTGCTAACATCTATTTAGGCAAGGGTCGCGGTCTCGTCGCTGTTCTTCACGGTCCTCCTGGCACTGGTAAAACCCTGACCGCAGAAGGCATTGCTGAGCTGCTAAAACGGCCGCTTTACATGGTCTCTACGGGAGAGTTAGGTACTAGGCCGGATCAACTGGAGATCGAGCTCAACAAGATCCTTGATGTCGCTCACTCATGGGGCGCGGTGCTGTTGCTAGATGAGGCAGACGTCTTCTTAGGTATGCCTCACAACTGACTCCTTTCGGAATAATCAGCTCATGTATGACTATAGAGGCTCGTCAGCCCCAAGACGTTGCCAGGAATGCACTCGTCAGCATCTTCCTTCGACTCTTGGAATACTTCCAAGGCATCCTCTTCTTGACGACCAACCGCGTCGAAACCTTCGATCCTGCCTTCCAATCCCGCATTCACGTTGCTCTCCGCTATGGCGAACTTACTACCAAGGCCAAGAACAGTGTGTGGAAAACCTTCCTAGGCAAGGTCAAGGCTATCGGTGGCGGCGTTGAGGTTGTTGACTTCTCGGCCGATGATTATGACCGGCTTGCCAGGCGCCAGCTTAATGGTCGACAGGTATGTGTCTTGTGCTCCCATGAGACTCTGGGTGCGTGGCTAACATGCTGCAACAGATCAAAAATGCGGTGCGCACAGCTCAAGCTCTTGCGGTCAACGAGAAAAAACCGCTCGCTATGGAACACATCATCAAGGTGCTCGATGTTGCGGAGACCTTCGAGAGAGATTTGAAGGGTGGACCGGGCTATGTGGAGGCGATGAGGAGTTATCATTAGTTGGAGGAAAGATTGAGGAGATGTCCGCAGAGCGGGAGTGATATCAAGGAGCGGGTGTCACACTTTCTACGAATCTATCGGAAGCATCACGGTTCAACAACGGCGCTATCTGAAATCGGGTTGCAAGGTCACGGGAGCATGCATGTCCCTCGAGCGGTATTTAGCGTGCGGTCAGTATTCGGTACTACATAGCAAACCTGCTCTCTCATCGGCTGTCAGGGTTTCCGCAAGAACGAGAGTCACCGCAACCGGGCACGGCAAAGTGGACTGACTACTCACATGTTCAACCACGCACCTGTTGCATGTGCAAAACAAGCAAACAAACAAACAAACAATCTCAATCCCTGCTCCTTCATCTTCGATTCTTTTTCCGCAATTACATGTAAATACCGTACCTTAGGGCTACTCGTACTAGCGCCCATCTTAGCGTATCTTACCTTATGTTACAAGACCGTCAGACAAAGGAAAGGCGTATCCCTACTTCCCATACCTCACAAGTCAGAACACTGTAAATGGCCACGACTCAAACACGATCGTATCCCTTCCTGCCGCTCTGCGGCCTATGTGTCGGACTCGTATGGGACTCGGGTCGGTTTCCCCGTGAGATCCGTATGGATGGCAAATATTTCCCTCTGTCCTGCGGCCCCGATTTCTAACCATCCGCGCTACTACCATCTAGAGCTCCGCGGGACGGGGAGTCATCGGTTCGCCTTGACGGTGGGGCTTGGCTCGAGATGGGCAAGCGTGGTCGCCGATGGGTTGGTGCCGGTCCGGAGATGATGCTGTAGATGTAAGATTTGGCGGAATGTGGGGATTGAGTATGATGGGCTTGGATGCGGCTGGGTTGGTGAATACATTTGCGTAATCAAGTTTGCTCGAGTGTCTGTGTCGGATGCCTGTGTCGAATGCCGGTATCGGGGAATTGATCTAAATCCTCTGACCAACGGGCTAATGCGAGCGGGAGATGGTTGTGGATAGTTTCAAGGAACCTGAGGGTTTGGAAATTCCCTCGATTTTATCCGCGTTACTTTCTCTCCTCTTCACGTTCCTAGTACCCAGTGGGGTATACTCCCAGGGGACTCTATACCGCTATGGGTTGATACGGTAGAGGTCTAGATTGATTCTTTGGTGCCGAATAACATGTTGATGCTTGCGCGAAGCTTCGTTGTATCAGTAGTCCTTCTAGTGACACATGCTCCACAACACAATCTTTGCCACTATGGCTCAACACGATATTATCCAACACAAGATTTGGTACTACATGTTGCCCATTCTTTTCTTTCCCAACGTCTCTCACTTCTTACTCCCTATCCTTCATAACACCTTCAAACCTATCTTCACAAATAATCGATCCAAGACTCCCCTCTCCCTGCACCATGCCAAATCGGAACCTCTCCCACTCTTCCGAAACCCCAGCAGAAACCCACAACTGGCTCAACCGATCAACGACCCGTACAATCGGAAGACGCCTCCTCAACGAGCCCAACCCCAGCCCTCGACGGCGCGAGCTCACAGAGGCCGAGCCGAGCTCGCGTATCCGGCTGATGCGACAACTACCATACTGCGATAGATACCCACACCATCTTCCACTACGACTCCAAGGCCTTCGAGTCTTTCACTCCGGAGTATCGAGCCATACTGACGGCGGACGGCGCCAGACTTGGCGAGTACCTATCTCGATTACAGTCGCTCGATGCTGGAGCGCGATGCTGAAGAAGCGGGGATGATTGGTCGTGTTTAAGGAAAAGTCCTGGGAAGGTGGGAGGTTGGGGATCGGGTGGTTGAGGGTCGGGAACGAGGGTTTTGTGGGTGTGAGAAGCGGGAGCGGGAGGCGAAGGTGCGTGAGCGAGAGGAAGCGGATGCGAGGGAGATGAGGGGTCGTGATAAGTGGGAGAGGGAAGCACGGGAATGAGAGGAGGAGAAGGTTCCTGCTCGAGAGATGCGGGCTCGTAATCATCGTGAGAGACAGGCCCGTGAGCGGCAAGACTGGTAATATGTTCGGGAAATAGAGCAATTGGCTTGGGAGACGCGGAAAAGCGAAGCGCGTGACCACCAGCGATTCCACGGTTCACGATAGGGTGTACCTACTGCAAGATGTCGGGACTTTGAAGGACCACCACAGGGTCAGGACTCTAGTCGTTCCAGCACGGTGCAAACAAATCATAACCGACAGAAGTCTACTCCACCACGGCATGCCCAGAGCCCGAATGCTCCATCAAATCGTCCCCAAACAAAAACAGCGTCCACGCAAACTAATCCGAAGATACCGAACGGTCGACAGCAACCGCAGCCTCACACGAAGCAAGCATCACACTCTCTCAAAACAGATGTCCCTGCCGGAGCACCACCCAAATCAGAACCACATTGGGCCAAAAAGTGGTCTCCTCCGTCGCCGATAGAAGACCAGATGCGCGATCAGGCCGGTGTTCCGCTGGAGTGGGATGACAGGACCGCTTGGGTTGCGGTTGGGAATCCGGAACATTGGTCCGAGGCACTGGGGAATTGTGACGGGGCGGGTTTCTAGACAGTTGGCTTTTTAACAAGGTAGGATCTAGCTAGGTAAAAAATCACAAAGTTCTTGACGATACTGAGAGGTGTGTCTAGCTGTGAAATTCGTTGTATGGTATAAACATCATGCCTTTCGTACGTGTCTATCGGATCTCCATGTGTGGGAAGGTGGAAGTGTGTGTTTATGATATGAAAAAATGAGGTATGAAGAACAGTGAGTGTACAATATTCCTGAATCTTTTTACTACCAGTGTTACCAACTATTAATTCGTAAAATCCGAGACAGGTCCCGAAAGTTGAACTGCCAAGATCAATCCAATCCCCAGCGCAGCAAACCGAATCATATCGGATCGGAATGGGGTAAACATCAGGAATTCGCCACTCGGGCGCGAGCTCCGCAGCCAGAAATCAAAGACCTAAGCGAGCACTGCCACCTCCTGCGATCCCTATCTAGCAACGGCCGAAACATGAACACAAGCTACTCTACCCACCGGTTACATTGGACGAGAGTAAGTAAGAAAAGGATGGATGCTTCTTTGACAGATTCGCACGGCTGGAAAGGAATCAGGCGCGAACATCTGATATCGGTTCGTTTTCAACGCGATGGAGCGAAGTCCAGTCACCCGCACTTGGCCGCTGGGGCTGAGCTCCCGGTTCTGGAGTACAGGGTCGGAATGAATTGGGGGTTGTCGTTGGCGAGGAACATGTCTTCCTTGCTGATCATGTCAGCATCCGCGGGATGTCATGCACTGCGTAGAGGAAAGTCCAGCTGCCACTTTACAAAGCGCCACGCCTGCCGATGACCTTTGTGAGCGCATTGGTTTTGTTTGGCTGGTGGGGACTTCTACCGTGTTCCATTATCTACTCTTTGTTGCTTTTTGGGTTTGTTGTTGGGTTGGCTTTGGATATCAGAAGTCCTTTTCGCCCACACCGACCGTACTCTTCGGTATAGTTTGATTTCTGAGTTTTCCAGTGCGTGTTGTAGATTGTATAGATCGATATATATCTATATAGCCTTCTTATTCCAAACTTTCCACTGGATGTAACACACTCTGCTGTAACACACTTTGCTAAAGTTCGTCTCATGATTTTGGCATCTCCAACACCCAGAAATCCGGACCGTCGACCCAGGAAAAATCTCCTCCACCATGAACACACGTACCCGACACCATGACTCCCCGACCCTTTGCAGATTCGGGCAGGATATTTTCGACAACATCTTCCACAATCCCTGCTCCTCTTTCCTACATCCACAGAGATTCCATCATTCTCCACCGGCACAGCCTACTCTCCAACAAATCCAGCCACTCAACCCCGCAAACACTTCAACTTCGGAACCATGCCCGGGCGCATGCGGATGATTGACGCGGAGACCCTTCGCGACGAGATTCGGGAGAATCCGAAATCGACCCGGTGGGTGAGTAAGCGGGGCGTCGTGCGGAAGAAGCAGGGGGGTGGCAAGGGGAAGGGTGATGCGGTTGATGAAGGCCAGGCTCGAGAGAGGTGTGCACGGGACGGGTACGAGAGGGAGAAGCATCGGAGAGAGATGTCTGAGATAGATGCGCTTGCTTGGAAGATGCATGCGCGGGAGATGTACGAGAGAGAGAAGCATCAGGGAGAGATGTCTGAGATAGACGCGCTTGCTAGGAAGATGCATGCACGAGACATGTACGAGAGGGAGAAGCATCAGAGAGAGATGTCTGAGATAGACGCGCATGCTAGGAAGATGCATGCGCGGGCGATGCATGACAGGCAGGTGCACACGCAGGAGTTGTATGAGAGCGAGAAGCGTGAGAGGGAAAAGCTTGAGAGCGAAAAGCTTGAGAGAGACTTACGCGCTCGGGAGATTCATGCGCGAGAGATGCACGACAAACAGACGCTTGGCCGAGATTATGAGAGACACATGAATGAGAGAGACATGCCTGAAATGGGGGAGGAGAAATCACCCTCCCCTCCGACCACGGTCGCAGTTCTGACCCACACCACCACGCTGACTACGAAGACGACTACGATCTCTCCCACCAGCCTCATCGCGGAGCCAGACCATCTCGTCGTCGTAGTCGTCACGATGACGATGAAAACGACCCGGAGGTGCTTTTCGCACCCTTTCGTCGCTTACGGCCTCCCAATCCTTCATTTCGCCAGCCAGCCAACCGGAACCGAGGACCATATGATACGGGACTTCCGGCCCCTGACTCTCAATCGGCGCGCCTACCTCCCAAGCCTCAGCGATATCAGGAGTAACCACTGCCCAAAGCAAGGCAAACACCCCGCGCTAAGTCTCATTCGCGCACAGAAACCCCTCAGCAGGAACAACCAGTATGGCGTAATGAGTGGACATCTCTTGCTCTCGATGTTGATCCCATGACAGGAGCTGGTCGGGCTTGAGACCGGAAGAAAATACGGCACGCGACGGGGAATCCTGACTTCTGGTAGCCGCGCTCTCGGAGACCGGGCGGTGGTGGGAGGGTAGAGTCTGTTGCTGGATTTGGAGTAAAGAGCGATTTTGGGCGGGGATTGGGATGGGCGGGTGTTTCTTGCGTAGGTGGAAGGCCAGAGTAATGTGGATTTTCTAGGTTGGTAATGTTCTGATTTGGTAGAAAATCATCATTTGCCATTAAATACCATAAGTTTCTTACGAGGGTGAAGAGTTTTATTGTGCTTACCCAGACCCTCTCGACATCTCTCCACGGATATGCTAATCTCCACCGGTTCACTTTCACATACTTCACACCGGTTCCCATACTACGCGTTGATCAATTCCAGCCCCGTCACCCCACTAGGGGTACTCGGGCACGCCGGATCCACAGCATAACCACTCCTTACCCCAGCCGCCTCCCTCCAACCCCCCGTCATCTCATCACAGCACACGGTTCTATTCGGCGCCTGTACACCCAGTGGACTCTTCTCGCTCGGATCCTCAAACACAACACCGTCTGTCGAAAGACAGCACGCGGGCGACACATACGTGCAATTACACGGACACTCAAGCGCTAAACCCGGGTATGACCGATCAGGTACGGCAAGGATTTCCAACGTGGTGTTCGTCCAAGTGGTGCCGTTCGTCCAAGTGGTCGCGTTAGCCGTGGTGTTGGCGAGGAGACAGCGATCGCGACAGGTGTTGGGTCCAAGCGCTTGGCTGGCGGCAACGGAGTCGCTAAGCTCCGTCACTAATTGGCAGCAGAAGGCTCGGAAGGATGGGTCGATGGGCGGGTCGTCGGGGAGGGGGGAGCTCGAAGTGCAGAGGTAGTTGTTGGTTGTGTCGCAGTCGGATGGGTGGGAGCAGGGCACTTCGCATTGTTGCGCGGCGGGAGGTTGGGGGTCACTCGATCCGCCTTGTCCGGCGTCTCCTTGGCCTTCGGGGGCCCATTCGCCCGTCTTTTGTGTCTTGGATGGCCGTTGGTCGTCGGCCCCGTCGTCGTCGTCAGTATCTTGACATTCGGCATTTCCCTCGGCGTCGGTCGTACATGCGAATTTGATGTCGAGGAGTTGCTGGAATCGGGAGTTGGGACCATAGACGAAGACCCCCAGTGAGGCGTCTTCACCAGTTCCAAGGTCGCCTGGGTAATGTTTAGCCAGACAAATCTTTCGAATATGTAACGCGATTTACCGGTTTCTACCCATCCTCCGATACCTTGGTCTTCAACACAGTTGAACATAACATCCTGCATGTTTACGAGCAGAGTGTCCCAATCTTCTGTTGCAAAAATAGGCATATGTCGTCTTTCGAGTTGCATGATAGTGATAGTGCATGTGCCTATGTATCTTAGCAGAAGACTTCGAACGAGTGGGCTAGTGACGAGACCATGTGACTTACCGTTTGTCCGAGCCACTGGAAGTTGGACGAGTTCGGGGTCATAGTTCGCGCCGTACACACTATTGAAATCTGCCAGCCGGCCAATACCCACAAAAGTAGCCGGACGATAATTTACCTTGTCAGCAGGCTGCGCAGCTTCCCAAGCGTTCTGGTACCGTTCCATTTCGTCATAGGCGTCATCACAATCTGCGAAGATAGGTTTGCCGTACATGTATTCGTTGCATCGATACAGATCATAGAGCGGAGGATCGTCTTCTTCGACCAAGTCACCGGACGCTGTGGTGCTAATCTTACATTGAGGATTTGGGGGATAGCTCGGGACGGGCCCAACTACTTCGTCCTCTCCTATATCTACAACACAGGCAGGCCTTTGGACAGCAGGGGGTTGGGGCTCGTCTGGTGCGATGTTTGTACAATGGCAGTTAAAGCAGGCCCTGCGGAGGTAGCTAGAGTCAGGTGGACCTATCCACATCGGTGAAAAGGGCCGAAGAACCAGCAACGCCCCATCAGGCCCACAGACGAATCCCATGCCCGTGGTATACTGGAGAGACTCCAAGGTCAGCACTACCTTCCAGGAATAACATTTGAGCCCTGATATTTGCAGAGACACGCCCCAGAGCCCATTCTTTGGATCCAACGAGGATGCTAGGACTTCGAATATACGTACGGTGGAGCAGAGATCGTGTAGAGAGCTGAATCGTTTGACAAAAGGGTGAGTAGCACCGTGGGGATTGGGACTACTTGGTATTCTATCAAAGAAGCACTCGAGAACCTGTGTGCTCAATCAGCAAGACTCAATAGTGTTGGGTGACCGGGAGCTTTTACCATGGATCGCCTGGCTAGTGACTTGGTTGGCGAGAGCTCTATCCCCGACGCAACTGTAGGGAAGCGAGCTACAGCGAAAAGAAAAACTAAGAGCTCAGCAAGAGCAGACGTGCAACTCCGGTGCAACATTGTAACGAAGGAAAACGCTCTTCGAAGGCTCTATGTACCGAAAGAAGGACAGACACTGCGCTTGATTATTTAATAAAAGATGCAACCGACAGACTCAAGTCAAATAGAAGCAAAATTTGAGCGGAAAAAGAGTCGCATTTCGAGATATTTCCTTTTCAGCCGCTCTTGCGCCTCGCACATACCGAGCGACCAAACGCGCTGCAAAGGTGAACAATGCCGCTCCACTCGGCGATTAAAAGGTGGCAATGAGAATGAGAGCGAACTACGGCATGGAAAAGGTAAATACTTTATTCTAAGCAATCATACCGGACGGCCACTTCGACGATAGCACCGAGGAGCAGGTGCCCCTTTGCGACAATGCAATGCAGAGGGAGGTCTATCCCCAAACGTTGGGGAGGGGGTTGAGCACAGTAGGATTGAGCAAATGGAGATAGTAAAAGTATACTTAGAATGCAAGGCGAGGAGAACTGTGACGACATTTGGGACATTCCGTAGAACAGTCCTGTAATGCGTCGCAGAGCTGTTTGTTACTGTGAAGCAGAAATGGCACTCACGATTCCAACCCATAGCCTTTCCTCTTCGGCACAACACCAGATCTGAGTTCTTCCACACCTTCAATCTTTCCGATATCTAGTCATTGGTGGGATGTTCAGGGGCATCAGCTCGGGCTTCCTCCGTCTGTGATGGTCGCAGCCTTCTCCATCGGAGACTCTATGCCCGCAGTTTGCAAACTATCAACATTGTTGACCCCGCTGCGGGGGGATAAGGTCATCACCGGCATCGTTGACGGGAACGCTCGAATCGACAAGTTCGCTAGAGGCATGCAAAGTCGAAGATGCTATGTTGCACCAGTTTGACCGCGGGTTGGAGCGGATCTGTAAGCCGTCTAGACTTGTTCACATCGCTATTACTGGTCCTAGACGATGTATTTTGAAGACTGCGCTGAAGTGACATACAGACCCCGGCGCTAGTTCGGAAGAAAGCTAGCAGGTATCTCGTTCAAGTACCATTTTCATTCATATTCTCTATCCAGCACATGGCCACTAGTCTACTGATCGTACAGTCACACCAATGCAATGCTTCACAAGCACCCAACTCTCTTTGTCGGTCTCCTGACCGAACTACTTCTTCCCGCCCTTCTTCTTCCCCGCCACAACCTTGAAAGCCGAATTCGTCTCCTCTTTGGCAGCCTGAGGCCCCTTCTTCGCCACCTCACTCCACCCACCACCGCTTTTACTCTCACTGGCATTCATGGGAGACGAGAATCCCGGAGTAGAAGCAGAATCAGGAACGACGCCACGGTCGGCAAGTTTGCGGCGGCGGACAAATTCCTCTGCGAAACGGCGACCGTCGAGGGTTTGGGAGGAGGCATAGATAGAGTCAGAGATGATGTCGGCTTCAGGTGGTAGCATGAGAAGTTGGGATACAAAATCGTCAACTAAGGCTCATTAGTTGTAGTGGCAGATTAGAGCTAATGAGGGTATTCACCATTCATGTTCGAATTAAGGCCTTTGCTCAAAGCGCTCTTGGTCCACCTCTGGAACTCCTGGTTCGCAAGTTGTTGGTTCCCAGGTCCTTTCGTGGATGTGGTAACGATCGGCTTGGGCTTAGCCGCCGACGCTGAAGGCTGCACAATACCACCGCTCGCAGATCTCGTGCTCAAACTTGGAGCAGGCGCAGTAGGTGTCTTCACCTTACCACTTGCGCCCACCGTAGTCCATGCAGCACTTGAGGTCAAAGGGGTAGGCACGCTGGCTTTACTAGCCAATTCGGCATAGCGTTTCCCACCCGCAAGAGCCGCAGTGGCAGAAGCATTTGCTGCAGCATTCACAGCAGCGGCGGCGGTGGCGCGGTTCTTTCGGGCTTCCTCCTCTTTCTGTATCTGTGCTAATGTCTTCTTGGCTCCTGCAACAGGTGTTGCGACTGCCGGCTTACCAGCTGCCGGCTTTGCCCAAGGTGAGGCGCCAGTGGTGGTAGGAACAGCAGGCGAGATGCTGCTTGCCCAGTTGGCCGACGACGGTAAGCCTGGCGCTGGTGCAACAGGCTGATTCTGTTGACTGAGACGCTCTTGCTCGGCTAAAGCTCGTCGGGCGGCGACTGCAATCTCTTCCTTTTGAGCTGCATTCTTGGCTTCCAACGCTTGGATCTCCTTTAGTGATGGTCCTTTCGAACCCTCAGCTGGCTCCTTGGCCCATGGCGCGAGGGCAGCACCGGGCGTCTCAACCGAGTCGGCTTGGGACGGGGTTTGTGACTCAGCATTCAAAGCATCTGCAACGCTCTGTCTGTTTCTTTGTGGGGTTGGAGCTGGCATTGGCGAAGATGACTGAGGTGGAGGGAAGGGTTGAGGTAAGCCAGAGTCAACTTTTGCCCACGGCGATTGAGGCTGGGAAGCGGGTTGCTGCTTGGCGGCGGCTTTCTGAACCTGCTCGGATAGAGAGAGCGGCTCGGGTTCGTTGTGAGTTTGCTGTGAGAGATCTTGATATTCGTGTCCTACGTCACGCATTTGCTGTTGCCCTGCAAGATTAAGATCCAATGTCTGGCGATTAACATGCCCACCAATTGGACCTGGCGCTTGCAGTTGTTGCTGCTCTTCCTGCGCTCTCAACCGATGATACTGCTCGAGTCGTTCCGCTGTTGTTCGCTGGTCATCATTCCCTCGTTGCAACAGATCGTACTGCTCTTGCTCTCGTCGTTGTCGATCTCTTTCCTGTAGCATTGCAGCTACATGCTGTTGATGACCTGGATCTTGGGCATAAACTGAGTCACTGAACGGTTGCTGACTCCCGCGTCCCATGCCAAGACGTTCCATCAATCTTGGTAGATCCTCCTCACGTACCGAGCTCAACGGATCAGCGCCTGCTCCTAAAGGGCCAGCATTCCTGGATAGACCATCGAAAAAGCCTTGGACAGACGCTGGCGGTTGGATCGGCCCTTGGCCAGGAGACGGCTGGTAACCGATAGGAGCACCAGGAGAAGTTATGCTGCCGTAGCTTGGTTGACTTTGCAGACTGTGGGCACTAGAATGGTGATGCAGTTGCTGACCATGAACCCCACCCATGTGCTGCATCTGCTTGAGCATCACCTGCTGTTGCGCCAGGTGCTCCTTCTGCCTTGCCATCAAATACTGCTCCTCTTGCTTGCGCCTCTCCAAAGCATTCTGCTGCTCAGCTGAGAGAGTGGTACCGAAGCTAGGAAAGCTGCTTGCGAACGGCGGTTGCGCGGCAGATGGAGTCGTAGCGGGAACAGCGCCAGAAGTAGCGGTGGTACTACTAGGTATAGGAGCTGATGAACCGTGAGGGATGCCAATTTGGGGGACTAAGAAGGGTTCTCGTGAATTTCCGATACGCCGAATGAGTTGAGCAAGGGGCTCGTAATCAGCATCTTCGAGCTTCTTGACTTGAAGCTCGGGTGAGAAGAATCCTGCCTTGTACCAATCATGCATTTCAAGTCCAGACCATGGCCCTTGAGTGTTGCCAGAAGGATCTCGATAAATCCATCGCATACGATCCGGCATCACCATCTGTCGTTGCTGAGAAGCAGGCATCTGACTGGAGCTGGAATCTTGTTCCTGAGACCGAGTGAAGTAATTGCCGCCAGATGGTCCGGCAGAGAACGGGGTTTGCACAGAAGCTGACATTGGCGCTTGACTCGACGTGGTTTGACCAGCTTCGGTAGTAGCGAAAGGTGAAGCAAGACCCTGCAAACCACGGCCTCGATTTTCTAGATTGCTAAATATTTCATCCATTCCACCCCGTCCGAGGCGTGAAGAGGTGTCCATGTCTCGCAATCCAAATCCTGGAGCATTGTGACCAGGGTCCCTCAAAAAAGCATCACCACCATCTCCAAACGCTTGCTCATGCCTCGACGTCTCCCCTCGCATCTGGTCTTGCACGGCATTAGAAAGCAAAGAGCTCATCTTGCTGTTTCGATTGGTAGTTCCCGTAGCACCAGCACCAAAAAGAGTCGAACCACTGAGTCCACTCTGGCTTCGTGAGGTAATATCAGCAAGCGATCCAAATGCTGAGTCACCAAAAGCCGCTCCGAAACCAGGCTGTGCCCTACTTGGGGTACCAATCGCGCCTGGGGCCGCTGACCAGGCCCCTGATCCACCTACACTACCGAGATCTCCTGGTCCACCCAAGCTTGGAAACCCTCGTGAAGCGCCAGTGCTCGAGGTTTGGCTCCGATCCCCTGTCTGTGCATCTAGCT